TCCCTCCCCGCGGTGCCATTCCCCCTGTCCCCACAGTGCCATCCCCCCCCGCAGTGCCATCAGACCTTTCTCGCAGGTTCTGCCTTCTGCCCTTAGCGGATGCTTCTCAGACATCCTGCTCCCGTCTTGAGTCCCCCCAGCCCTCCATCTTTCGGGACTCCGCATCCCACGGGCCTCTCTCCTTCCCCGCGGGCCTCTCTCCTTCCCTGCTGGCCGGTTCTCATCTCCTGGGACCTGCCCCGGGTGCCCTGAGGGTGTCCCTGTCCCCCCAACGCCCCCCGCCAGATCCAGCAGCAGTGGATACTGTACACCGTCCGCCTCGACCGCATGGTGGAGGAAGCCCTGCGCCTCAACGTGAAGTGGTCGCTGCTGGAACTGTTGAAGGCCATCAACGGGGACGGAAAGACCATGCCCAACCCACTCTTCCGAGTCCTGGTCACCCTGCAGAGCGACACACAGGGAGGTGTGGCGCAGGTGAGGGCCGCTGCCCCTCCCGCTTGCTCCTCGACTCTCGACTTCACCTTCACTTCCCCTCAACCCTTAGCCTTGGCCCTTGGCCTTGACTGTATCCTGCGGGCCTCTGGGGCTGGTGCTGAGGTGTAGCGTGGCCTCGCGGGCTTGAGGCCGGCCTCCTCCACGGCCTGCGCTGAGGCCGCCTCCGCCGTGTCCCCCCTTGCAGGTGGAATTCTCCCCCACGCTGCAGACTCTGGCGAGCGTGGTCAATGACACGGGCAGCCACCTCTTCTCCACCATCTCCGTCTTCCGCCACCTCCCCGAAATTCTCATCCGGCGCAAGTTTCATCGCGACCCTATCCACGTCATCGTGGGTGAGCGGGCAGTGGGGAGCGCACCGGGCGCAGGGATGGGCAGAGCTGCGAGGAGAGGCCAGGGCCGCCTCCAGACGCAGGGGCCAGGCAGCCCCGGGGCGGGGGTCAGACGGGGGAGGTCGCCAGAGCAGCGGGAGCGGCCGGAAGTCAGGGGACTGGGGGCGGGGGGGGGACGGAGGCCGGGGCGGAAGCGAGTGAGGCTCACTGTGCCGGCTCTCGAAGAACGAGACGAGGACATCAGGAAGATCCAGGCCCAGATCAGCAGCGGCGTGGCGAACAACGCCAGCCTCCTGCAGAACTACCTCAAGACCTGGGACATGTACCGGGAGATCTGGGAGATCAACAAGGACTCCTTCATCCGCCGCTATCAGCGTCTTAACCCCCCTGTGTCTTCTTTCGATGCCGACATCGCCCGGTAAGGAGCCGAGGCGTCTGGGAGGCGCTGAGCCTGGGGCGCAGGGCTGGGCTGGGGAGCACTGCGCCCGGGCGGAGACCGCCGGTCGGCAGGGGGCTTGTGCTCCCTGCGCCCCCCACCTTGTCCTGTGAAGCACGTGTGACCCTTCCCTACCTCCCAGGGTCGCAAGGTCACCAAATAGGTGCGAAAGCGCTTTGCGGGCTCTGGAGCCCCGTGCGGACGTGCTCACTGCGCAGGCTCCCGTGGGATGGGGGCTGCGGCTCAGGCACACTGGGAAGGAGAGAGAGTCCAGGCGTCGTGAAGGGAGCACGGGGGGGCTGGGCTCGCCGCAGTGGGTGGGGTCCCCACAGGCAGACTTGGGCAGCGGGAGGGCACTCCAGAGAACACAGCATCCGGGAGGCACGAAAACAGGAGCCCGCGAGCGTGTCCAGCAGGGAGTGAGTAGCCAAGGACCCAGGTCCCGGAAGGGAGTGAGCGGACAGTGCCATCCCCCCGGCAGCCTCGCGACAGAGGTCGTGTTGCCGTCACCACGTTCAGAGGGGGAGCTTGTAAACAAAGCACCTGTCTGAGGTCACGGAGCTAGGCAGCCGCGGTGGGTGCTCAACTGAGATTCATGCGACTTTAAAGCCTTGAATGCCAGACCAGGGAGTCTGCCTGGGGTAGCCCGGGAAAGCTGGGAAAATGACGTGATGGCAGCTGCACGGCTGGGCTGCACCGGAGTGGGAGCAGGCGGATGCCTCAGAGCTGCCGCCCGGGTCCGGAGGGTGAGGACCCAGAACCCGACCTCGCCACGGGGGTGGTGGGCTCGTCCACTGGGACGAGACGGCCCTGGCGGGAACGTGGGTCCTCACAGCTACACCGAGGTCGCCAACAACGTGCAGAAGGAGGAGACGGTCCTCAACATCCAGTTCGTGCTGCTGGACTGCTCCCACCTCAAGTTCTCGCTGGTGCAGCACTGCAACGAGTGGCAGAGCAAGTTCACGACCCTGCTCAAGGAGATGGCGGCCCGGCGCCTCCTGGAGCTCCACACCTACCTGAGGGAGAACGCTGAGAAGTAGGCGCCAGCAGGGGTGCAGGGAGGCCGGGTGCGAGCGGCAGTGGTGCGGGGAGGCGGGCCCGGCCCCTTCCACCCGCCGGCCCTCTCCTCGCCCGTCTCCAGAATCAGCCACCCGCCCCAGACCCTGGAGGAACTGGGGGCCAGCCTGCAGCTCATGGACACCCTGCAGCACGACCTGCCCTGCCTGGAGGCCCAGATCCCCCCCATCCACGAGCAGTTCGCCATCCTCGAGAAGTACGAGGTGCCGGTGCAGGACAGCGTGAGTGCCCACGTGCGGCCCGCCCGGGGCGAGCGCCGGGAAAGTGGGTCTGCGTGGTCCGGAGGGACAGCTGAGGGGCAAGCCGGGCCGCGGGCGCGAGTTCGAGGCCCTGAGAGCCCGAGCCAGCTCCGTGGTAACTGGGGCGCCGCGTACGGGTTTCTCTGAGGCCCGGCAGCAGCTCATGGCTTCATTTCTTTGGGCCTCATGGCAAGTAGAACTTGACCACAGACTGTGGCCCAGAAGATCAGCAAGGAGGCCTTGAGAGCATTGGTGAGGGGGGCCGACCCCTGCTCGCGGGCCATCGTCCCCTCATTGACGCCCCCAGGTCCTGGAGATGCTGAACAGCCTCAATGGGGAGTGGGTCACCTTCCAACAAACCGTGCTGGACAGCGAGCTGATGCTCAAGAAACACAAGGAGAAGTTCAAGACAGGCCTCATCCACTCGGCTGATGATTTCAAGAAGAAAGCCCACAATCTTCTGGAGGACTTTGAATCCAAAGGTACCCGTTCCTCGGCTCCTCTCCCCTTCCCTCCGTTGTGACCCAGGCTTTCTGAGCCCAGGTCCCTGGGAGGCTTGAACAGAGGGAGGGTGGTGCTGGGGAGGGGACAGAGCCCTGGCTCGGCTGCCGTCGCCGAGCGTTGGTTGGGGCCCTCCTGAATTTCTAGTTTCCTCACACCTCCCGTGGCCCATGTGTTTCTGCTTCTCAAGCCGCATTTAAGAGTTTTTGCTGGGGCGCCTGGGGGGCTCAGTCAGTTAAGCGTCCGACTTCGGCTCAAGTCATGATCTCACAGTTTGTGGGTTTGAGCCCCGCGTCGGGCTCTGTGCTGACTGCCAGCTCAGAGCCTGGAGCCTGTTTCAGAGTCTGTCACTCCCTCTCTCTGACCCTCCCCTGCTCACGCTGTGTCTCTCTCTCAGAAATTAAAAAAAAAAAAAAAAAAAGTTTTTGCTAAGATTAACCTTCGTTCTTACAACGCGTTCCCTCTTGTTTTCCTTCCCCTCCTCACGCGAGGGAAGAGAGGAGATTTGCCCTTCCGGGGGGCGACGGCCTGGAGCGGGGGGGTCTGAGCGGCACCCTTGCCTCCCGCAGGCCCCTTCACCAGTAACGTGGGCCATCAGTCGGCGCTCGATCAGATCGCCCAGATGCGGGCCATGCTGGCCGCCATGCGGGAGGAAGAAAGCGGTCTCCGCTCCAACCTGGGCATCTTCAAGATCGAGCAGCCCGTCTCCAAGGACCTGCAGAACTTGGAGAAGGTGGCGTGCGGGCCGGACCCGCGTGGTCCCCGCGGATGGGCCGGGAAGGAGCCTGCGGCCTACGGGCCGGGCCGCACCCGCCAGCGACGTCCGCACGCCCTGTCTTGGGGGCGGACGTCCTGCCGGGCGTGGGGGGCGGCCTCCCGTGGTGGCTGTGATCTGCGTGTCCGGTTGGCTAATGGCATTGAGGGTCTTTCCCAGGCCTGTCACGTGATGGGCCCCTACGGCGGGAAGCGGAGGAAGGGGTGTGACCTCACGGGGCAGCCCCGTCCTGTCCGGTGGAGCGAGCGAGGGGGGCAGAGGAGCTGGGCGTCTGTGGGGGAAGGGCCCGGAGTCCCGCCGCCCAACGCCTCTTCTGCCCTTGGCCGCGAAGGAGCTGGACGCCCTGCAGCAGATCTGGGAGGCCACGCGGGACTGGGAAGAGAGCTGGAGCCGGTGGAAGACGGGCCGCTTCCTCGACCTGCAGACGGAGGCCATGGAGGCCGTGGCCCACGGGCTGTCCCGCCGCCTCCTGAGGCTCGCCAAAGAGTACAAGGCGCGTGGAGGCCGGGGCGAGGCCCAAGGGACGGCCGTGCGGGGACGGCGCCAGGGCTTCTGACGCGTCCCCTTCTGCCGCCCAGGACCGCAACTGGGAGGTTATCGAAACCACGCGCTCGAAAATAGAGCAGTTCAAGAGGACCGTGCCTCTCATCTCGGACCTGCGCAACCCGGCCCTCAGAAGGAGGTGAGGCCGCTCCTGGGGCCGCCCCTGGCCCGAGCCCTCCCCGGCCCCCCCCGCAGGCGCCCTCCGGGGTGGCCTCGTGAGAGCCGCCGCGTCCTGCGACTCCGCCGCCCCGCCCGGTTCCTTCTGTCTTTCCTCCCCTGTGCCTGTTCTGATCACGGCCCAGCCAGACACCTTCACTCAGGCAAACAGTGCATTCTTTCTTTTTTAATTTCTTAAAATGTTTATGTATTTTTGAGAGCGAGAGAGAGAAACAGAGCACAAGCAGGGGAGGGGCAGAGAGAGAGGGAGACACAGAACCCGAAGCAGCTCCAGGCTCCGAGCTGTCAGCACAGAGCCCGACGCGACCCTTGAAGCCACGAACTGCGAGATGATGACCTGAGCTGAAGTCAGATGCTCAACCAACTGAGCCACCCAGGCACCTTGTTCGTCCGTCCTTCCTTCCTTCCTTCCTTCCTTCCTTCCTTCCTTCCTTCCTTCCTTCCTTTCCTTCCTTCCTTTCCTTCCTTCCCTCTCTCTCTCTCTCTTTCTTTCTTTCGAGAGAGCACCCACAAGTGTGTGCATGCAAGCAGGGGAGGGGCAGAGAGACAGACTTCCCAGCAGGCTCCACGCTGTCACTGTGGGGGGTGGTGGCTGGAACTGACAAACTTCTAGATCGTGACCTGAGCCAAAATCAAGAGTCAGGCGCTTAACCCACTGAGCCCCCCAAGCACCCCCAAAAAATTTTATTCTGATGCAGCTAAAGGTATCACTTTCTTCCTTCAGGGATTTTATTTTGGGTCCTCATTTAAGAAGACCTCCCTTTGGGGCGCCTGGGGTAAAGCATCTGACTCTTGATTTCAGCTCAGGTCATGATCTCACAGTTTGTGGGTTTGAGCTCTGCATCGGGCTCTGTGCTGACAGAGCGAAGCCTGCTTGAGATTCTCCCTTTCTCTCTGCCTCTCTCCAAATAAACAAATAAACTTTCTAAAGATAGAAAAAAACCCCTCTCCTGCCTAAGGTTACACATGCATTCTCTCCATACTTTCCTCGAACACTTTATAATTTTGTTGTGCAAATTTTTACTCTTTTGATGCATCTGGAACCCATTACCTGATAGAAGAGGCCTTCACAGCCATTGAGGACTGAATAAACGATTTTATTTTATTTATTTTTAACGTTTTAAATTTTTATTGATTTTTGAGACAGAGACAGAGCATGAGTGGCAGAGGGGCAGAGAGAGGGAGACACAGAATCTGAAGCAGCTCCAGGCTCTGAGCTGTCAGCACAGAGCCCGATGTGGGGCTCGAATCCATGAACCCAGAGATCACTGAGTTGAAGTTGAAGTAGGACACTTAGCCAACTGAGCCACCCAGGTGCCCATGGAATAAATGATTTTAAAAGCTGCATTTTAATAATCAGCTATTCCTTTAGAAGGAAGTAATCTTTCTTCTTCTGCATCATGTCCATGGCAGTGTTTCTGGGCCCCGCTTCACTGTCCAGTACCCTGTGGTTAAGTACAACCTGACCGCTCCCCTTGCTGGACCTCGCCCAGCCTCAGTTTCCTCACGTACAGATGGAGGAGTCAAAAGTCTGCATGTAAACGCTCGGCCCTGCCTGTGGTCTACAGGGAACTCCATGCTGTCAGTGTTGACTCTCTGTCCAGAGAGTCGGCAGCTCGGTGTCTGTATTTCTCCGCCGGGCCTAAGGTTGCGTTTAGGGCCAATTTAGGAAATACCTGTTGAAGGGGCGCCTGGGTGGCTTAGTCGGTTGAGCGTCCGACTTTCGCTTACGTCATGATCTCGCGGTTCGTGGGTTCGAGCCCCGCGTCGGGCTCTGTGCTGACTGTCAGCTCAGAGCCTGGAGCCTGTTTCAGTCTGTGACTCCCTCTCTCTCTGACCCTCCCCTGCTCACGCTGTCTCTCTCTCTCTCCTAGAAATAAATAAAACAATTAAAAAAAAAAAAAAAAGGAAATACCTGTTGAAGCCCGAATGGACCCGTGTGCGGAATCGCACGGCCCCGGTGGGCGCGGGGAGGCCTGCGGGCCGGCCGTGTGCTCTGACGCCCTGTCCCCGGCTGCAGGCACTGGGATCAGGTCCGGGAGGAGATCCAGCGCGAGTTCGACCAGGAGTCTGACAGCTTCACCCTGGAGCAGATCGTGCAGCTTGGGATGGACCAGCACGTGGAGAAAATTGGGGAGATCTCGGCCTCGGCGACCAGAGAGCTGGCCATAGAGTTGGTACGACAGAGTCCTCTCTGCGCCCCCCCGCGCCCCGCGCCAAGCCTCCCACCATCTGACGGCCCCCCCGTTCCCCGTGGGGAGCAGCTACCAGATCGCCGCGCCCCCCAATTTCTTTCCGCAGGCCTTACAGAACATCGCCAAGACCTGGGAAGTCATCCAGCTGGACATAGTTCCCTACAAGGACAAGGGCCACCACCGGCTCAGGTAGACGGGCCGCCCGGGAAGCGCAGGGCCGCGCCGCCTGGGCTGCAGAGTGGCCGGAAGGCGGGCAGGTGCGGACGGACCACGGTTTGGCTGCCCCCCCCCCCCAGAGGCACAGAGGAGGTGTTCCAGGCGCTGGAGGACAACCAGGTGGCCCTGTCCACCATGAAGGCTTCTCGTTTCGTCATGGCCTTTGAGAAGGAGGTGGACCACTGGGAGCGCTGCCTGTCCCTCATTCTGGAGGTCGTGGAGATGGTGCTCACTGTGCAGCGGCAGTGGATGTACCTGGAGGTGGGGACTCGCTGCCCGAGCGGCCCCTGCAAACCCTCTGCCCCTCTCCCTGCGCGGGTCCGACACACTTGCCCTGTTACCAGCCTCATTTCCCACTCTAAAGTCATTCTTTTTTTTTTTTTTTTTAATTTTTTTTTTTTTTTTTTCTTTTTTTTTTTTTTTTTAAATATTTTATTTATTTCTAGGAGAGAGAGAGACAGTGTGAGCAGGGGAGGGTCAGAGAGAGAGGGAGACACAGACTGAAACAGGCTCCAGGCTCTGAGCTGGCAGTCAGCACAGAGCCCGAGGCGGGGCCTGAACCCACGAACCGCGAGCTCATGACCTAAGTTAAAGTCGGACGCTTAACCGACTAAGCCACCCAGGCGCCCCTGCCACATCTTTTTTTAAAAGTTTACTCATTTATTCTGAAGTCATTCTCCTGTCTCGGCCCCGAGCGTCTGACTCTCAGTGATTACCTCTCAGTCTTCAGCGCCCCCCACCTCGAAAAGCCTTTGTTCTCTTTTCGTTTTTCTTCTCGGACCCAAGTGTCTGGTGTCCCGACCCCGACCTTCCTTCCGCAACTTAGCGCCTCCTGCCCTTTGGTTCCGACTCCTTACCTGCCTCCCACGGCCGCTCCTGCCCTGGGAGCGAGGAGTATGTGAGCCGCAGCCTCTCGCCCCCGTCCCGGCCCCTCAGAACATCTTCCTGGGGGAGGACATCCGCAAGCAGCTGCCCAGCGAGTCGGCCCTGTTCGACCAGATCAACAGCACCTGGAAGTGCATCATGGACCGGATGAGCAAGGACAGCAACGCCCTGCGCAGCACCCACCACCCAGGTCTGTTGAGCTCGGTGGCCTCGTGTCCTGACAGAGCCTGGGTGGGCGCCCGGTGAGCGCGACGCCGGGGCCGCACGCGTCAGGGCCACAAGACTGACAGTCGTAGCGGCCTCCGTGCCGTCACCACCGCCTCATCTGAGCTTTAAAAGAGCCGTTCAGTAAGGGAGACTCGGCACACACCCAGGCCGAGTGTACTGTGTGGTTATAGAGCGGGATGTGGAGTCAGGGGTGAGTTCAGAGCCGGCCTCCTGTGCCATTGCCAGTGTGGCTCCGGGAGCCTCCTCCTCACCCCGGCCTCCTCCCCTGCAGTAGGGGCGGGGGCACCGGCAGCCCTTTCTCCACGTCCCTGTGGGGACCGTGAAGGTGTGTATGGTCCTCAGCACAGAGCCTGGCATGAAGCCAGCGCCCAGTTACTCGCACTGCGCCTTGGGAGCCGTCGCTGGGCGGGTTCCTTCACGGGACAGTGCAGGGAACTGAGGTAAAGCAGAGCAAGCACTGACCTCCTCGGGGCCATGGCATCAGCCCTCGGCGACTGTTAGCTGTTGTTGTTATTACCTTGACTTTAATTGGTTCATCAGGTTAACTGGTCTTTGTTGGAGACCCTTCGGTAAGCATGGGGTGGGGCTGGGGAGAGACGCACACTCAGAAAGGCCTGGTTGATTGTGGCGGGCCGGGGTCAAGAATCAGGCATTGAGGTTTGGCGATGGGCACCAGGAATGAGTATGCTGGGAAGAGTTCTCGGTTGGGCTACTGAGAACTTTATTTTGCCTTGGGCCAATCTGTTTTTTTTAAAAAATGTTTATTCATTTCTGAGATTCAGAGAGACAGAGCTTGAGCGGGGGAGGGGCAGAGAGAGAGGGAGACCCAGAATCTGAAGCAGCTCCAGGCTCCGAGCTGTCAGCACAGAGCCCGACGCAGGGCTCGAACCCACAAACCGTGAGATCATGACCTGAGCTGAAGTCGGACGCTCAACCGTCTGAGCCACACAGGTGCCCCAACAATTTTTCACTTTCCCAGGAACCTTGGGTGTACATGTGAAAAAAACCCACGATTTTAATTATTCTGGTAAAGTGCAAGCGTTAGGTTATGCAAAGTTGAGCAGCAGCATGCATTTGTTAGAAATAATATCTGATCGTTGTCAAAATTACTTCTTGCGACAATTTGTAAGCAAAGCCATAGAGACAAGTATCCCTTTGCTGAAGACAAAAACCACACTCCTCTTGGCCATGGCCACTGAGTCTTCTTGTGATCCCCGCGGGCCATTCGGAGGTCCGGCAGCCCGTAGACTCTTTGCTTGGAAGGGTGAGGAGCCCCTCAGCATTCACATTCCAGGGTACTCATAGTTTCTTCAGAGCTAGAAACTGAGCAAACAAGGAGACCTAAGGTTAGGAGGAAGCTAGGATTGCTGAGAGCTGGCAATGTGAATCCATTTTTTTTTCCAGTTTGTTTATTTTGAGAGAGAGAGAGAGAATGAGAATCCCAAGTAGGCTCCACACTGTCAGCGTAGAGCCCACCGTGGGGGCTCGAACCCACGAACTGTAAGATAATGACCTGAGCCGAAATCAGGAGTCCGATGCTCAACCGACTGAGTCCCCCAGATGCCCCCGTGAATCCATGTTGTTTAGTGTCTTAAATTGCTCTTTGAGGTAGAGTGCGACGGTTTTTTGGACAAAGGGCTAAAAGCTCGGTGAGGTTAACCGACAGGCCGATTGGTGGTAGAGCTGCCGTCTGCACGGCCACCGTCTGTCCCTCAGTCTAGTGGCCCTGTCGCTACACCTCCAGGGACACGCGCATCCTGGTGGTTCCAGACCTCTGTCACCGTGTGCACGTGGCCTATATTTACATCTCATGATTTCACTCGCTGTTTTGTGTACGAGCAGAACAGTCTCTAATTTTCAGAAACTCTTGGGGTGACCGCAGAGCCCTGCGTTCCTTGCGGGAACAGGATCGTTGTTCTTTCTTTTTTCTTTTTTTTAAATTTATTTTTTAATTTATTTTTGAGACAGAGAGAGCACAAGCAGGGGAGGGGCAGGGAGAGAGGGAGACACAGAATCTGAGACAGGCTCCAGGCTCTGAGCTGAGCACAGAGCCCAACGCGAGGCTCAAACCTATGAATCGTGAGCTCATGAGCTGAGCCGAAGTCGGACGCCCAACCCACTGAGCCCCCCAGGCGCCCCAGGACCATTGTTCTAAGACCGTAGGGAGATGGGACGTAGTGGTATTCACTGAATCCTGTACACCGTATACCAGTGCGGGGTGTACAAACATGTAACAGTGTGTAACAAACACTCGACGAATTAACGAAGAGCATGGGATAAGTGTGATGGGGTGATTTGGAGACCCTACTCGGCTTCCGGAAACCATTCTGGCAGTACGACCCCTGCCATCGAGCGCTGGCAGCAAGTGGAACATCCTGGCTCTACTCCAGGTGATGGGGAAGGGCCAGCAAACCTTACTCGCCGCTCTTCCCCCAGGCCTCCTGGACACGCTGATCGAAATGAACATGATTCTGGAAGACATTCAGAAGTCTCTAGATATGTATTTGGAGACCAAGCGCCACACTTTTCCCCGCTTCTACTTCCTGTCCAATGACGACCTCCTGGAGATCCTCGGCCAGTCCCGCAACCCGGAGGCCGTGCAGCCACACCTCAAGAAATGCTTTGACAACATCAAATTGCTGAGAATGCAGAAGGTCGGGGGAGCCAGCTGGGCTGGGGTGCAGGGCAGGGGACAGATGGTGGCGTCAAGGTACTCAAGGCCTGGGAGGGGACCTTAGCCCTCCCCACAGGAGGGGGATAGTCATACTTCTGGGTTATCTGGGCGAGAACTTGTTAGAATTGGTGAATCGGGAGATGTCAGGAGTGGGCCGGCCAGACCACTAACAGCTTCCTGGTTTTGCAGGTTGGGGGCCCCAGCAGCAAGTGGGAAGCTGTGGGAATGTTCTCGGGCGATGGCGAGTATGTGGACTTCCTCCACTCAGTATTCTTAGAAGGGCCCGTGGAGGTGAGTTGTGGCGAAGGTCGAAGCATCAGGCTGATTCCTCTTCCCCTCGGAAACTCAGCTTGGCCCTGAGAGGAGAGGACACCCCTGGGAAGGGACATTAGTCACTGTCCGCCTCCCACCTGCCATTCCTGAAAACTAGCCTCTGCCCTGAACCCGGAAACCGCGCGGGCCGCCCCCCTCGCCTCCACTTCCCTCAGGGGCCCGGCCAGCCGCCGCCCTGCCCCTGCCTGGCTCCTGGGCCCAGCGCCCCGCCCTCAGGGCCGCTCGCCCCCGGCCCTGCGGCCCCGCCACTGTGTGCTCTCGCCTGCCCCAGTCCTGGCTTGGCGATGTGGAGCGGGCCATGAAGGTGACCCTGCGGGACGTCCTCCGTGCCTGCCGCGTGGCCCTCAAGAAGTTTCTCAACAAGAGGGACAAGTGGGTGAAGGAGTGGGCTGGCCAGGTGAGCTGGGCCAGGCCGATGGGGGGACGAGAGGGACGGAGCCACGGGGAAGCAGCAGACGTAGACAGAACCCCGTTCTGGGCTCAGGCCTGGCTTCCCGGCCTGCGGGCCCTGAGCTCCTGCCCTTAGGCACATGCCCAACCCTGGGCAGAGAAGCATATGGACAGAGGAGTAGCAGTGCGTCCTGGCGGGGCTGGGGGCTGGGCTGCCTGGCCGACCAGGGGCAGAGGTGTGGACGCGGCCTCTGCGTGCCCCAGATGGTGATCACTGCCAGTCAGATCCAGTGGACGGCCGATGTCACCAAGTGCCTGATGACGGCCAAGGAGCGGGGGGACAAGAAGATCCTCAAGGTCATGAAGAAGAAGCAGGTGGGGGGCCCTACAAGGATGGGGTGGGCCCGGTGGGGGTTGGGGGGTTACTCCGGGGTCAGAGGTCAAGGTCAGAAGGAGGGTGCTTTGTGGCAGAAGTCGAGCCAAGAAGGTCTGGTGGGCGCTGGGGGGTCAGGAGTTTCGGGGGCTGGAAGTCGTGTGAGGCCGGGATGCAGTGTGTTAGGGTTTGGTTGCACGCCCCTCCGTACTCCCCCCTCCCCGAACCCCCCGGCAGGTGTCAGTGCTGAATAAGTATTCGGAGGCCATCCGGGGGAACTTGACCAAAATCATGCGGCTTAAGATTGTGGCCCTGGTGACGATAGAGGTGCACGCCCGGGACGTGCTGGAGAAGCTGTATAAGAGCGGCCTCATGGACATCAGCTCCTTCGACTGGCTCAGCCAGCTCCGCTTCTACTGGGAGAAGGTACGCGAGGCCTGGCGTCCGCTCCGTCTGCGATCCCCCCCACACCAGTCCCCCAGCGCTCCGTCTCACCTCGCGTCCCTAACCGGGTCAGCTCTGTCACCTCCTGAATCAGGAGTGGTCATTGCTCCAGTCAATGCTCACTGGGGCTGGCACTTGACCGAGACCCGGAGCCTCCACGGCCGGGGCATTTGTGCCGCCTGAAGCCCCCACCCCCATTTTCCTTCTGGGTCGTAAACCCTCCCCCCGTAAACCGAACCCCTGATCTCCTAACCACTGCCTCCCTGCCTCCTTGGTCCTGTCTCCGTCCGGGTCCTCAGCCCGCCTCTCCCCTGCCCTGCCCGGTTTCCCCAGGATTTTGACGACTGTATGATCCGCCAGACCAACACGCAGTTCCAGTATGGCTATGAGTACCTGGGGAACTCCGGGCGGCTCGTCATCACCCCCCTGACTGACAGGTTGGCTGGGCGCGGTGACCAGGTGGCTGGGGGGTGGTGGGGGAGGGGGCAGCGCCTGCTGAGGGCAGGCTCCCGGGACTCAGACCAGGTCTCGTCCTCACCCTCAGGTGTTACATGACGCTGACCACGGCGCTGCACCTGCACCGAGGGGGGTCCCCCAAGGGCCCGGCGGGCACGGGGAAAACCGAGACCGTCAAGGATCTGGGCAAGGCCCTCGGCACTTACGTCATTGTGGTCAACTGCTCCGAGGGCCTGGACTACAAGTCCATGGGCAGGATGTACTCGGGCCTGGCCCAGGTCAGTGCCCCGGAGGCCCTCGACGTGTCGTTTAGCCCCAGAAAGAGCCGGCTGGCTCACTGCTTTGTGACCACCAACACCGTATCACCTCTCATCTCGGTGAAGTCCCTGCACCACCCCGAGCTTCACTCAGGGCCGGGGCTCGCTTATTTGAAGAATGGAAAGATTATGAGAGGGCTCCGTAAGGCGATGCGCGCCAACTGTGTGTGGTGTACGCGCTCGGTGCCTGCGAGATCTCTGCCCCAGCCCCTTTCCCACCCACACCTTGTCCGGCTCTCCCTGGTCCACTGGAACGTTCTGGCCAGAAACCACAACCGGCTACGCTGTCCCCAGCCCACGCCAGGTAGCGCGGGCGTTTGGGAGACCGCCATGCCCACCGGCGCGTTCCAGGCAGGACACGATAGTTTCTAGTGTCTCCCCGTGTGTGGAGGGGGGACCTTCTCTCGCTCCCAGCGACTCCCTCTCCTCCCCCCCCACAGACCGGCGCCTGGGGCTGCTTTGACGAGTTTAACCGAATCAACGTGGAGGTGCTGTCGGTGGTGGCCCAGCAGATACTGTCCATCCTGTCGGCCCTGGCTGCCAGCCTCACCCGCTTCCATTTCGAAGGCTTTGAAATAAACCTGGTGTGGTCCTGTGGGATCTTCATCACCATGAATCCTGGTATGGGGGCTGGGTTGCCGGCCGCTGAGGCTCGGCGGCGGGGGGAGCACTGAGTGTCCTCCACCGTCCAGGCCGCTGTGTTTAGCCAGGGGACAGGCGGCTAAAGACAACAGAGCGTGAGAGAAGGGTAAACACCGACTTCCTGGGAGAAGGGGAGGCGATCTTACGTCCTCCCGAAATGTGCTGACATCCGCTTGTGTGTGTACGTGTGTCCCTAGTCTCCTGAGATGCTTCTCCGTCCTCTCCCAGCAGGCGAGCTCCCTGAGTTCTGGAAGCTGCCATCCCTTTCCCAGAGAGACTCTCCCCGAACACGCAGGCCCTTGTTCCCTAGGAAAAGCTCCAGAGGCAGGGTCTGCGGGGAAACCAGGAAAGGGTTTGGGTACCGGAAGAATCTGAGACACAGCAGTGATTTCCATCAGGACTGTCCTGAGTCCCACACGGAGCCTGGACGGACGAGAAGCCGTCAGCTCTGGGATTTGAGTCTGACACAGGGCCACGCAGAAAGGAGGGGAGGCGCCAGGGTTAGGAGAGCAGGGCCAGGGCCGAGGTGAGGCGAGGGGAGAGCATGTAGTCGGAGGTGGGGAGCCCGTGGGGCCAGCCAGGGTTGGGGAGGACGGGGTTGCGTGGGGAGCCGCTGGGGCTCTGAAAAAATGGTGCCGTTTTTCAGGCTACGCTGGCCGCACTGAGCTGCCCGATAACCTCAAATCCATGTTCCGCCCGATTGCCATGGTGGTGCCGGACTCCACTCTCATCGCCGAGATCATTCTCTTTGGGGAGGGCTTCGGCAACTGCAAGGTGGGCGGTGACGTCCTTTCCCCATCGTCTGCCTTCCCTTCCAGGGTTACTCCCCGCACAGAGGGGCCCCGGCCTCACGGTCAGCTTATCCTACAAGGAACGGAGGCTGTTGTCAGCAGGATGTGGGGGCCGGAGAGCTCAGGGGAGGGGGGTCTGCCCCTGGCCCGCGTCAGGACCGTTGCCGCGATCTTCCCGCTAGAGCTGTCCACAGAGCCCGCCCCGGCCGCCTCGGGTCCCAGGGCCGGCTTCCGGCCATCTGTAACCGTCCCTGTGTGGAGGAGAGGGGTTTCTGGGGTGCTCAGTGTCCCCCGCTCTGTCTCGGCCCCCAGATCCTGGCCAAGAAGGTGTACACGCTGTACTCGCTGGCCATGCAGCAGCTGTCCAGACAGGACCATTACGACTTTGGCCTGCGGGCCCTCACCTCCCTCCTGCGCTACGCGGGCAAGAAGCGCCGTCTGCAGCCCGACCTGTCTGACGAAGAGGTGGGTCAGGGCCATGGCCGCGGGCCTTCACCTGCGCCCTCAGCAAAGCTTTTCAGATCCCGTCCCCAGGGGGGGATTCCCGCCCCCACGCCCCCTTCTGCCGTCCCCCGTGTGACCTGTCCTCCTGCTGACCACCTGCCCCTCGCCCCCCGGAGAGACAGGCCCTGGGGAGAACCCAGGCCCTGGCCGCTCAGGCCCGAGGCTCCGTCTCTCCCGCCCAGATTTTGCTGCTCTCCATGCGGGACATGAACATCGCCAAGCTGACCTCGGTCGACGTGCCGCTCTTCAACGCCATCATGCACGACCTGTTCCCCGGCACCGAGCTGCCCGTCATCGACTACGGCAAGGTATCTGTCCCCCCCCCCCACGCGTGAATGTATTTGTTCTGCCTTCCACTGGTCGTGACCTCCTGATGGACTGTCAACCGCTCCGGGCTTCCTCGCCTCACAGACACCCCGCTCTCCTGCCGCAGCCCACCCCCTCCTGACGGGGCGGGGTCTCACTTTGTGGAAACTTCCGGGCCCTTCTATCTCCTCTGTGCCCAGCAGCGCCCCCCGCCTCAACTTCTCTCCTCGCTCCGGGGCGCTGAGAAGCTGCCGGGAGCTGCTGATGCGTGAGAGCTGCGAGAGCCATGGAAGGGAAGGGGTGGGCAGGAGGGTTCTAGAAAGCACAGGGACCTCCTCCGGAGTGCTCCCTTCTCCTGGAACCTCAAATGTGCTGGACAGAGGCGTGTCTTTGTCAGCGCGTTCCTAAGCCAGCGGGAAAGACGGGCCCGGGGTGTGGAGCTGGGGTGAAAGCAGGGAGGTGATACAACAACCTTACGGGGAAAGCATCCTCATTACTCCCATTTAACAGACAAGGAAACTGAGGCTCAGAGGTGCAACTTCCTCGGGTTCACGCAGCGGAAGCTGGGGCCCCGGTCTCTCTGCTCTGCGGACAGCCGGCCTCCGGCCAGAGCTCAGGGGGCCCCGGGGCCACGTCTGCCGGTCCGGACGTGAGCCCCCAGCCCCCAGGGGGCTCATGCTCTCTCCCTGCGTCTTGGCCTCCCTCAGCTGCGGGACACCATCGAGCAGGAGACCCGCGACATGGACCTGCAGCCCACGCCGTTCACGCTCACCAAGGTGATCCAGCTGTACGAGACCAAGAGCTCGCGCCACTCCGCCATGATCGTGGGCTGCACGGGCAGCGGCAAGACGGCCTCGTGGCGGGTGCTGCAGGCCTCCCTGTCCTCGCTGTGCCGCGCCGGAGACCCCAACTTCAACATCGTTCGGGTGCGGGGCCCCTGGCGGACGGGGGGGGGGTGCCGGGGGTGGGAACGCGGTGCGCGCCAGGAGGCCAGGGCCGGGGGCTCGAGAGAGAGCAGGGCGGGCACAGAGCCCCGGATGTGAGGGGGGCGGGTGGAAACAGGAGGGCACCTGGGGGTTGGCGCCGGCCAGCATCTCACCCCCCCCCGGTCCCGGGCCGCTTCCAGGAGTTCCCCCTGAACCCCAAGGCCTTGTCCCTGGGGGAGCTGTATGGGGAATACGACCTCAACACCAACGAGTGGACAGACGGCGTCCTGTCCAGCGTCATGCGGGCGGCCTGTGCAGGTGCCCCGAGGGTCGCGGGGTGGGGCTGGGCGGTGGGGCTGGAAAGCTCGCGTTGGGGAGCCGAACGCGTGGGGCGCGAGCCTCTCTGGGGACGAGAGGGAAGGGAGGTCCGGGGAGAAAGTTCTGGCTTCCTGACCCTCCTCCTCCTACCAAGACGAGAAGCCCGACGAGAAGTGGATCCTCTTCGACGGCCCCGTGGACACACTGTGGATTGAGAGCATGAACTCCGTCATGGACGATAACAAAGTCCTGACCCTCATCAATGGGGAGCGCATCTCCCTGCCTGAGCAGGTGCCGCCCCACGGAGCTGGGGACCCGGGGGCACGAGGCGGGGCTCGCGGCCGGGGGGCGGGGAGCCCCCTGGGGAGGAGTTCTGTGCGGGGAGGAAGGGGGAGGACGCCTGGCTTCGGGGAGACCCTCTCCCGCGGATGGCGGGGACAGCTGATAGGAAAGAAGTCCGTGCCCCCTTCGCCGGACCGCCCGGGGTTACGTGTTCCCCAGCTGTGAAGCCCTCTGCACCCACACAAGTAGTGCGAGCGAGGCGGGGTGGGGGGGGAAGGTTTTCGGTAAGCTTAACCTTGAACGAGCTCTAAATTCTTTTAAAAAGCAAGTAAGTCATTTGTAAGCAACAGGCCATCCATCGCCCTGCCCCACTCAGTACTTGGACAGAGATGCTTGGGGGCATCGAGTCCCAACTCTTTCTGCTGATGGGGGTGGGGTGGCCGGAGGATGAAGTTCCGACCCAGCGTGTCCTCAGGTGTCACTGCTGTTCGAGGTGGAGAACCTGGCCGTGGCCTCTCCCGCCACCGTGTCGCGCTGCGGGATGGTCTACACGGACTACGCTGACCTGGGCTGGAAGCCGTACGTTCAGTCCTGGCTGGAGAAGAGGCCAAAGGTGTGCAGTGGGGGAGAGGAGAGGGCGGGTGGCCCTCAGCGCGGCCCGCGGGGCCAAGAGCTAGGGCCCTTTCTCACCGACTCCAGGCCGAGGCCGAGCCCCTTCAGCGCATGTTCGAGAAGTTCATCAACAAGATGCTGACCTTCAAGAAGGATTATTGCAACGAGCTGGTGACTGTCCCGGAATACAGTGGGATCATCTCCCTCTGCAAGCTGTACTCGGTTCTGGCCACTCCAGAGAATGGGGTGAGCAGGGCAGGGGTGGGGGGCAGAGCAGGGCCGGGGCGGGGGGGGCTTGTGACCATGCGGGCACAGCTCCAGGGAGTGGGGCGTCTGAGACACAGTTTGCACACAGACCTGCGCGGAGCGGGGACGCCAGGGGGAGGCCCCACTGACCTTGGAGGAGCCGTGCACGCGGGTTTGCGTGTGCCTGTGCACACGCGGCAGAATGCCAGACTTGCGCCTCTAACACCGTGAAGTCTCGCTGTGATTTCCTACCCGTATCTGCGGAGCCGAGGACAGTTCATCTGGTTCCTCATCTTTCCGTCCTTTTAAAAAAATAGCTATTAGGCTTTGGCGTATGGGAGGCCTTGGGCGGCCGTTCCTGTGGCCAGGAGCCCCCAGCCTCATCTGAGGAGGGGGTTGGGAATGTTCAGGTTAACTGACATTTAAGAGCAGCATCGTCCAGTTCAGATTTCTGGAGTAAAGACCAAAGTTGGGTATTTGTCTGTTGAGCTGAAATCACTGCCTGGAAACAGTTTGTACTGTATTTATTTATTTATTTATTTATTTATTACTTATTTTTAAATTTTTATTTCTTTAAAAATTTTTTAATGTTTTACTTATTTCTGAGAGAGAGAGAGGCAGCATGATCAGGGGAGGGTCAGACAGAGAGGGAGACACAGAATCCGAAGCAGGCTCCAGGCTCTGAGCTGTCAGCACAGAGCCCACCGCGGGGCTCGAACCACGAACTGCGAGATCATGACCTGAGCTGAAGTCAGACGCTTAACCGACTGAGCCACCCAGGCGCCCCAAGATAAATGAACTTTTTAAAAAACTAAACAATAAAAATAAATAAAAATAAAATGTTTTATATTAAATCCAGTCCTGCTCCCCCGTCTACACGAGTAACGACTGTAGCATGTGTGGGTGCATCATTTCAGACCTTTCTAACAGCATTTACATACAGGTCTGTAGGCAGCCGTAGAAAATGTGGTATGCCAGGGGCGCCTGGGTGGCTCAGTCGCTTAGGCACATGACTTTGGCTCAGGTCATGATCTCACGGTCTGTTGGTTTGAGCCCCACATCTGGCTCTGTGCTGGCAGCTAGCTCAGAGCCTGGAGCCTGCTTCAGATTCTGTGTCTCCCTCTCTCTCTGCCTCCCGCCCCCCGCCTCCCCGATTGTGCCGTCTCTCAAAAATAAATAAACATAAACATAAGTTTAAAAAAATAAAAAACACACCATGTCCCACGCGTCCCGTACCTGTACAGCCACGTGGGTTTGAGTTCTGCATTGGCATCCACAGATTAAGGTCACTGCCTTTAACCACTGCACACTGTTCCACTATAGAACATTCCTCTCCTGGCGGACACTTCGGTCATCTCCAGCTGTTTGCAGTTACAGACAGGTCGCCAGGACACCCCTCGCTCCAAGTCCTGGTGCGCCCGTGGGCACTTCAGGGCAGCTGTGGTGTGGCCGTACGCCGCCGCACCTTCAGGACACAGCAGAGGAGGGCGCCAGGGCAGCTGCTGACCGACGCGGACCTTCGGGTCCCCCTAAATGCTTCAGGTTTAGGTTTATCTACAAGCACAAGGTTTCTCCGGATGGAACCAGGAAGGGAGCAAAACCCTGAGCCTCAGAGGCGGCTTGCGAACGAGAGCCCCTCCACCTCGTACGGACGGACACCACGCCCCTTCTCTTCTATCCAGGTGAACCCGGCCGACAGCGAGAACTACGTGACCATGGTAGAGCTGACCTTCGTGTTCAGCATGATCTGGTCCGTGTGCGCCTCCGTGGACGAGGAGGGGCGCAAGAAGATCGACAGTTACCTCCGAGAGATTGAGGGCTCCTTTCCCAACAAGGTCAGGGCGCCCAGGGCCGGCCGGCCCGTGCCTCCTGGTTCTCCAGCACCCACAAGGTTCCCCGGCGCCAGGCTCTGCCGGGGTTTCACCCATGCCGCCCCCCTGCGCCCTCCTGCTTTCACCCGGTGGGCTGGGTGCACCCCTGTCAGGGCCCGGGCCGGCCAGAGAAGGCTTTGGTGGCCTCAAACACGTTCTCTCCTTAGGACACGGTGTACGAGTACTTTGTGGACCCCAAGATGCGAAGCTGGACATCATTTGAAGAGAAGCTCCCCAAGAGCTGGCGTTACCCCCCGAAGTGAGGCCGGGGTCGCGGGCGCGCTTGGGGCTGTGGTCGGTGGGAGACATGCACAGAGAGCCGGTGCCAGCAGAAGCGAGCCACAGAGGGGAGGGGCCGACTCCCGGAGGAGGCCGTTCTGGGGCGCGGGAAGCAGGGCGCCCCATCTCCAGGCCCCTCGGGAGGCAGGGCGGCCGGCGTCTGAGGAAGATAAACATCGGGAGGCGGAAGGGCGTTGGAAAGGAGGGGGCCAGGACCCTTGGGCAGGGCTCTCTTTCCTCCCAGCTCCCCCTTCTACAAGATCATGGTGCCCACGGTCGACACCGTTCGCTACAACTACCTGGTGAGCGCACTGGTGGCCAAGCAGAAACCCGTCCTGCTGGTGGGTCCCGTGGGGACCGGCAAGACGTCCATCGCCCAGAGCGTCCTGCAGTCCTTGACGTCCAGCCAGTGGTCCGTGCTCACCGTCAACATGTCTGCTCAGGTGCGTCTCGGGGCCGGGCCCTCCCCCGGGGTCCGCGTGCCCGCCGCGCTCCTCTCAAACCCCGAGTGTCTCCCCGGGGAGACCCCGGCAATGGTCCCGTGCCTCTTCCACCAGACCACGTCCAATAACGTGCAGAACATCATCGAGAGCAGGGTGGAGAAGCGAACCAAGGGGGTCTACGTGCCGTTTGGGGGTAAAAGCATGATCACCTTCATGGATGACCTTAACATGCCGGCCAAGGACATGTTTGGGTCCCAGCCCCCCCTGGAACTGATCCGCCTCTGGATTGACTATGGCTTCTGGTACGATCGCATGAAGCAGACCATCAAGTACATTCGAGTAAGGCTCCGGGGGACGGAGAGACTCCTGTGATCTGAGGCTCCTCTCCACGGGGGGTGGGGCGGCCCCCCAGCTCCTTCCCCCCCCCCCCGCTCCTCAGTTATCAGTCCCTCCTGCGAACTCTCCTCGATGCCTCCGCCCTGTGCTTTGTGTGTGACCAAAGGGTCCTGTCCTCCACCTCTGCACCTTCTCCACGCTCACGTGATGCCCCTGCTGTCGCCCAGAGTGCTCCCTGACTCGGGTCCCGCGTCCCCCCACGGGGCACCCCCGGGCAGTCGGGCTCTGCACCTGTGGGATTCTGAGCATCTTGTTTGTTTCATTTTTCCAAATCCATGGGCAGCAGCCCTTCCCTCCCGCCCCCTGGGGGATCCGTCTTCTGGCACGCAGGGTCAGAAGTTCTCCTGACGGGTAGTGTATTCTTGTGTTTCTGAAAAAGGACACACGTGCACACATGCACATGCACACTGAAAAAAGAAGAAAAGAAGGCGAGGTCTAGAAAACATAGTCAAACGTTTTCTAACTTACCTCCATTTTCTATTTTTGGTACATGGATCACAATGAACTTAAAACAAATGTGTCACTTGAATGATTCCCTAATCTCTTCCTTCCCTTCACCTCCCCGGTCCCCCGTCCCTGCTCGCGCTGTCCCGGCCCTCTCCCCTCCCCTCCCCTCCCCGCCCCTCCGGCTCCGCTGACACCCTCCGTGTTCCCGTGCCCTGTCTCTGCCCTCCAGGACATGTTCCTGATGGCTGCCATGGGCCCTCCCGGGGGCGGACGGACCATCATCTCCCCAAGACTGCAGAGCCGCTTCAACATCATCAACATGACCTTCCCCACAGTGAGGGCGCGATGGGGGCTGGGGGAAGGGGGCCGTAAGAGGCAAGCCATCTGTGTCCCAGAGAACCAGGAGCCAGATCTGGGAGGGGTGGGGGGGGTCCCCCGAGCGGAGGTGCGCACAGGAAGCGGTAACGGGGTGGGGTGACCCCGCTGTTTGTGGGAGCCCTTGCTTCTCCTGAGCCAGAAGGGGTGGGGGGAGAGTGTGGCTGGCCGTCTCTCGTGGTCCTTGGGGGGGGGGTGGGCAGAGAGCTCAGTAAGGGATGTAGATCCTGCAAAGCTGACAGCTGAGGGCAGCGTCAGGGTTTGGGGAGATGAGCGAGGCCTCTGCGGGGGCCCCAGAAGCCTCAGTCATCAAGATACATAACATTTGAATGCAACGTCAAAGCGGTCAAAGCCAAAAATTCGTGGTGCACAAATGCCACAGTGTTAAATAAATCCGAGATGGGGGGTTGCTGAGGGATCTCCGAGCCTGAGGCAAAAGGAAACTGCCACAGTCCTGAGCCCATCTTTATTTAAAATGTGGGTATTTGTTCATCTTGGATGTTTCGTGTTAATTTCGATTTTTATTTATTAATTTTTAAATGTTTGTTTATTTTTGAGAGGGGGGAGGGGCAGAGAGACTCCCAAGCAGGCTCTGCCCTGTCAACGCAGAGCCTGACGCAGGGCTCGATCCCATAAACTGGGCAATCATGACCTGAAACGAAACCAAGAGTCAGATGCTTGGTTTTCAAACCCAGGCGCCCCTGAATTTGAATTCTAAGTACTGCATTAAAATGTTATTTCTCAAGGTGCCTGGGTGGCTTAGTCGGTTAAGCGTCCGACTTTCACTTAGGTCATGATCTCTCGGTTCGTGGGTTCGAGCCCGGCGTCGGGCTCTGTGCTGACTGCCAGCTCAGAGCCTGGAGCCTGTTTCAGAGTCTGTGACTCCCTCTCTCTCTGACCCTCCCCTGCTCACGCTGTCTCTCTCTCTCTCTCTCCTAGAAAAAAAAAAAAATGTTATTTCTCTTGATTTTGTGGGCTTTTTTGGTGCCCCTTTAAATTTGGCCCCTTGAGGAGTGCTTAACTCACCCCCTGGCGTCGAACCGGCCCAGAGCCTCTGGGAGTGAGTGTGACTGCCCCCCTTCCCAGGAGTCCCAGATCATCCGGATATTTGGCACCATGATCAATCAGAAGCTTCAGGACTTTGAGGAAGAGGTGAAGCCCATCGGGAACGTGG